AGATTTTCTTGAAGATGGCTAGCAGTGCAACCCAGTAAGCACCATTTATTCTATTCAAGAACCATGAACTTAATACAGCAGCAGTTCTGTGAGTAAAAGCGTTCACAGAAAAACTGAAACGTAGTGTTCACTGTTTTGCAAGTTGAGTTCCTATACACTAGGCTACTGAGTCATGAGAATCACCGTTGTCAAAAAACCTTGTGGAAATTATTCAACTCAATATTGTATGAACAAGCAAGCATATCAATCTACTCAAAACTACGCATTTAGGCACAGTTTCTAGAATACTTGGATATGAAATAAACAATACTCAGTGTTATGAGTGGGTTACTGAATGCACTACTGAAAAGTTATTGACAGTTGACGAGAAGTGTTTCATGAATGTCTTCTCGAAGAAGGAATGTTGTCATATATTGGGCAGAAACGTTTACTGTTCAGTTATGTTAGTTCAAGGCTAGATAACTTATCTTCTTTCCAGTATCTTAATAGAAATAGGTTACTTTTTGTTAATTCTTCACTAACAGATGCTTAATATCTGCGAATTTATAAAATTTAATGTCACCCCTTAGAATCACATTCAGAAAAATAAATTCAAAGTTGATTCGCTACAATCCTTATGTTTATTTCTTAGTGTATCTGTATAAGGTTTTCAAAGATACTGCTTTTCAGCAGCTGAACTATTAACATCTCCAAGGTCGCCCCACTTGTAATTATTGATGATATATCGAGTTGACATAACAATGCTAACATCTGTCATCTCAGTTTTTATGTTAAGGTCACCATCGACCAAAAGTTATATCGCTTTTGATGTTATTACGCTCTAGGTAACAACCTGGTATTATTTTGCTTCAGAGTCATTCCAATCTCATAGATTCACTGGAAAAACTTGTCAGTGGTTGGACATGAGATTTTTAAGTTCTTCATACGTAGCGCTAAGAAAAGTGATGTTGTTTTAGTGCTGTATTATTTGAGTGGGCTAAAACACAAATTTTAAGACCACTTTTCCTAATTTAGTCATGAGATCTAACACGAAGGCTTCATCTCTGAAACTTTATGATTGTTAGATTTTAATCACTTCAGTGGAGGAAAGCATTACTTGAGCAGTCATCCCGTCATTGACTCATGAACATTTGTCTTTTACCAGTGCTATTAACTGAAAATCAAAAGGGTGATGTTAAGTAATCCTAACTGCAACGGTTGAATGTGTGAGAATCAAAATTAAGATTGAAGAAAATTTAAAGTTGTATTCATGAGTTTTAGAACCACTGAAATCTGGGAGCACGGGACAACCATTTCATCTTAGTATGGGACGCCTCAGCAGTACGCAGTGACTATTATGGGAATCAGTTGGGAATGAAGCGGATGTCGACTGAAGGCTTTGATAGATAGTCGAAAACTGTAGGAGACTGTAGACCATAAAACTTCAATCCAGTGACTAAATGGTAAAACCTAAATATCCTGAATTCAATCCCTAGTGAGGTCGTGGGAGCATCTGTTGTAAAGTTTCATACTAGAATGAGACTGGTGTTCAGTACTCTCAGGTTTTCAGTGGTTCTCCTAATAAAATCAGTCCGTGACGAATACAATGTTATAAATTAAATTCTTGCAAACCCCGTAATAGGAACTTTTTGTTATTATGGCTTTGTTTTCATCTGAGCTGAATAGCATGATCACTGAGGATTTGTTTAGATTCTAGCTAATAAACAAAGCACTCATTTCAGAGATGACTAGATTAATTATAGATGATATGTGGGTTATTTTATTTTAACTTTTTAATTGCTGCTAAGCAATAACGAACATGGAATCTTTTTCAATAATTGGAGCAAGATGTACACTTATGCAGATGCACAAATGCATCTATACGCTTGGTTAAAGTTACTGACAATTGAGCTTTCAATTTTACACAGTGATTATTTCCACCGTCTTTTTATATAAATAACATTTTGTTCTGTGATTGATAGTAATTTGCAACATGATAGTGTGTATTCATTAAACGGCTCGATTTAGATAATACTGTTGTAAAAATTCTCGTTTATCCAAGCATCTATCATATGACGTAACATTTAGACAAAATGTAAAGATCACATAAGCTAACGAAACTAGATGCCAATATATCTAGATGTGTAAGGATTTGTTAACTACACCAGGCCACCACTCTAAAGTTTTAAAATAAACGTTATGATGCCTACCTTATCTAGTTTCCTACTGGAAACCTTCCGGTGAACTGGTTAGACTTATAAAACAAAAACCTGTGGTGCACAATACAGCAATTAATCCTTGTGCACAGCATGTTAATAAAAGTGCACTGGTTACCGAGTGGTCTATTAAAATCAAGAAAGTGCTATTTGATAAATTCCTGTGCCCTATGTTATATGTGAAACAGGGCTCATCTCTGAAGTTTGTGAACTTATGCTTGATACCGGGATGGATTCTAAATGCAATCGAACACTGACGAGACTTATTTTGAAGGTTTATTTGTGTTAACATGCATACTCATCATTTCAACAAAGGAGGAGTGTCCTGATCATTCACGAACAGACTGGCTAACAGTTCGTGTAAAACATATTGATATGATTATTAGCAATAATTTATGCTCGAAACGTCATCAAGTATATAATACTAGATCACTGTGTGTTATGAATCAAATAAACAAATCTAATATGGAATTAATTGCTACCACAATGCCCAAGTTTTACACCTATACATTATGTACGTCCACATTGGGATAAAATGGTCAACACTTGAATGGCTACTTAGTTTGTTTACCTGTCCTACAACTTCAGCTTCTTTTTTGAATAGTGAGTGATATAAAGTGTTATTTTGCTCCGTTTTTCAAATAAGTATATGATTATTTATATGAAACTGTTACCACGTGTACGAAAAACATATAGGCGGTTCTATTCTTACATACATGGTTATGTATACTGTTACTCATGTGACGATGAAACAGTTATGACTGCTAATTGTAGTTTATTCTTATCTGAAAGATGATATGATACATTTAAACGAAACGGTTAAACTAGAATTATGACTAAATGAATATGGGAAGACTAAGTAACCACTACAAGTGATAAGAAACCCACGGAACACATGAAACGAAAATCGTTTTATCCACCGAGTGAACCACTGATTGTACAGAAAGTATTCAACACAAAATAGACATGTCCGTTAAGTTCGAATTAGTGTTAATTATGAAATGATATCATTGTAAGAACCAATGAGGACCTAGAATTACTAGGCACGGGCTTTATTCTGGTGTGGAACTCTTCAGCTGAAGACACCCATGACTCCGCAAATGATCTAGCTGAATATCATCCGCCATTACGATAAACATGTTATCACCCAACCAAGAGGTTTGAATTTAGTGAACCATATTGTGCTGCTTATATTTCTATATACCGTGAGTAAACAGAAGTTTTAACGTCATCTCATTGTGAACACTACCATGAATTTAATCAAAAATCTCCGGACATAGTTAACTGAATTACTGTACAAGGCCCAGTATTCAATAACTTAGAAATGGATTTCTTGAGGTTTCAATGAGAAGTCATAGCCTTGAAGGTCAACTATGTGTGGTGTGAAGACAATTACCTGGCAATACCACTGGATTATGGTTATGTTATTCGACAAGTTAAAAGAAATAGGGAAATGTGGGTCATTGGATTGCAAGCCAGTGAAATAATGGTAGAGTGCGTGCTGTAAGACCTGACGCTGCTGTGGTAGATACTGAATAAAATATAGATGTTTGCCTCCTTTACATATACCACTTTCATCATTGTTACCAATACAGAAAAAACAGCTTCTAACTAATTCCCAACAATTCCCAACACAGGATTATTAATATCCAAACCATGCTTGCTAGTATTTCATGATTTATACTACAATGCGGTTTTACATCCAATATAATGCTGAACGTTAGGGAACTTTTTTAGGCTAACTATCAGGTGTCCTGACTCTCACTGACTTCTTTTATTGCACCAAACTCTCTTTAAGGCCAAGATATCTTCGTTCCTTATTTGTTTTATCTCCTGTGGTGTCGAAAATGTTATGCAATAAAATAAAATGACATACGTTATTTAATACATTGGTTATTTCATATTAACCATACAAAGAGTTCTAGACAGAATTCAGTACTGCGACATATTCAGTTAGAAATTTTAATTCGATTTGGAACCATCCATCCTAAGTCTACCCCTGTGCGTCAAATGTATGCTTAGGAGGCTTGTAAGGGAGAAATCATGCATGTTTAAGTTGTTGAATAGCTGGTAATCAGTAGTAGCATCCATCGTTTCAGTTGCAATCAACCCACTTTAAGGTTATCCAGTCTTAGCGGGTTGCGGATGATACCTATAAGTCCTGAATTCCATCTAATGACGAACGAGTTGTTACATTAATGCTGTAAAGACTAGGCTCGAAGATAATGCTGGATTCGTCTCAACTGCATCTCATCTATTGAGGGTTCGTATGACTGTTGTCTGAATGAATTTTCCAAATAGTGAATCACAGGACCTTTTTCATCCTAGTATTATGGTTGTAACACGCAAAGGAAATAATTCTTTGCTAACTAAACTGCTCATTTTCCAAGTTTTCGAGTAGCAGTCCATATTAAACCTTTTTCAAAATTATCACTTTATATGTACATGAGCTTTTACTGAGGCAAACATCATCTGTGACAGGGCAAATTCGATTCAACAAATGGCAGGTATTTTTAAAATTTCGTTACCACAGTTGATGCTGTTTTGATTGACTAAAAATGAAACAAGAGTTGCCATTTCTTCCTGTTATGTCCAAGAGTTTTTTAACTCCCATAGTTACTTTACACTAAATTTCCAACAGTCTTCAAATCTAAAGAATTGTCAAGTAGGATAACCTACAATCCTAGTCCTTGTATAACCCACTCAAAAAACAAAAAGTATCAGAAAGTTGATATGAAAATGATACTGAATGTCTCAGATGAACCATAACCTATCATTCTCCTTCTATATTTTTCTGAATTGCAGATTCTTTTGGAACATTTGGAAAATCTTGTAGCACGGCATGAGAGATCGCTCAGAATGACTGTTGTTAAACGCCATACATCCACAGCTATGAGCACCAGTACTAATTCCTTAGTTCCAAGTGGATCAATAACCGATAATGAACCAGTTTGCTCAGAAATGGATATTTTAAATCCTTCCTCTAATTATGCATTGAATACAGCAACGGGATCAATTAGTCCTTCAATGACAGGATTAGGTTCTGAAGTTGAGGTTTTAAAAGCTTTGAAATCTTTATTTGAACATCATAAGGTTTTGGATGAAAAGGTGCACAACAGACTAAGAGTTTCACAAAATAAAGTTACGGAATTAGAGAATGAATTATCGGAAATAAAACGATCTACGTTAAGTACTGTAGTTGCAACCACACCAAGTAACAACAATATAAACCAAACCTTGATATCTACTCAAACACAAGTTGACAATGATTTAATGGAATCTGATGAGACAAATTCTAAAGTCAATCAAGATCAATTGAAACGATTTTCTATTGGAGGTGAGTGAAGAAAGGCAAAGACGTTTATTGCAGTGATTATTTGAATGGTTTATTTTATGGACTTGTCTTACTTTCAGTCGGTATATTACAGTACTGTCATTTCTATTTAACTTAAAGCTTTCAGAAGTATTTGAAATATTTCTCTTCAACTTTTTTATTAGCTGACTACTTCATCAGTAAATACAATGATTGTTTTGAACTATAATTTTGGACACCTAGTGTATGGGTCATTTAGTAATCTTTGAATTTTATTTACATTATATGGTATACGATACTTTTTATTTAAGAGTAGCATAGTTTTCAAAAGATATGTCAAGTTCATTTATTTATATCTGAATATTCAAGTAACTGTAGCTGCAAATATCATAGGATTGAATCGTACTTGATGGTCATAAAACAGTGTCAGGGTGACTGGTTTGAATAATGATAGAATCAGTCGTTGGTTAGTTTTTTTAAGAGTATCCGACAGCACTGTTAGCAGTACGACCGGAAACAGAAGCTCTGGAAGTATCTGTCTATAATTAAGTTGTTAATCATCATATTTCTAAACATCAAACTTTAAGGTAGGCATATATCTAACGCTTACTCGCTCTTCAAGCTAAAACAAACCCTAACTTGATATTGTCTTCCTGAATATTTCTTATTTTTGGTAGAATCAATACACACTGGGTTACTTCTTCTGGCTCATTGAATACTGTTCAACATTTCTACCGTCTGGACATACCACCTTTGCCGATCGTTTGTAGGTTTAATTTTAGTTAGTACTTAGGAAAGCGTCTTTTAATCAATGGTGATTAGATGTAGGAACTCATCCTTGGTCGTGAATTTTAAAACATATGTTGTCCATGTATATTTATCGAATTCTCCAAGAAGTTGTTGCGAAATACCTCTCTTTATCCAGACAAAAAACATTAAGGAAGTTATAGAGAAGATAATCGCCTTTTTGATGAGTCCTTTTCAAATCGGTAAAGTGTGAAAATACAATTCTATAAATACATTGCTTAAATATGTTTTAAAAAGAAATATGTATAGTGACCTATTTTACCGTAGTCTTAAAATTGTTACAGATTAACTTTTGTTTCTTACTCACCCTGTACTTTCACACAAAAAGAATCAAACTTGGTATTAGGTAGTGCTCATTACTTTGCTTACTTTTTGCATTTTTACTTGCCAACTTTATGGAATGTTTTTTACCGTAACTTCCTTACACTTCTTTTCCAAACGTATCTTTAGTGTTCCAATAACTTTAACTTTTGACAGTTAATTCCACTGGAACGCTGTATCTTTTGGATTATTTATTGACGAGAATAAGACTTTGAAAATGAGTCGTCAAAAAGACAATCACTTCACTGCAACCACCCCTCAGACAGTTATGTTTCTGTTCTCATGCATAACTTTACTCATAAAACCAAGTCGTCTTCTATATCAGATTGCCACTGATTTGACCCTCTTATCAAATTAATTTCCCTCTTGAAAATTTAGCCATTGACTGAAAGACTTCTGCTACATATATAATGTATCCTTAATATGTAGGAAGAACACAGTTTTGTAGACAGAAATATTTCATTCGCCGGTAATCGTGGACTATCGTTTTAGGTTTGATGATATCTTGTTCCTAAAAAGAAAACACAAATATGATGTTTGTACACGGAATAAGATATTAGGAGGAAAGTAAATATTTACCCCAGAGATGATAGCAAGTAGTTTATTTTTTTCTGTCAAAGATATCTTGTTTTATTATCTAGACATCAAATGTAACATTTATAAATAAAGTAAAAAGCAGTCAGCCAACAAAATACAGTCAATCAATTTTTAGAAGAATGATTATGAAGAAAGCGTTCTTGAGAACAACAACATTTCAGCAGTCAGATGGATAAGAGTGGTATTGAATCGGTGATCAATTTATTGCAGTTTTATCGTTATGTTAACCAAGTCACATTCTGCTACTTCATGCATTCGGTCTTGTTATTTTTTTGTAAATAAATCTAAAGTCAGGAGACTAATCTTTTGGTTCTTAATTATAAGCTTCGAATAGTGAAAAAAACTTGCACTACAACTATTCAGTTTGCCTGCAGGTTTGTGTCTCCTCATCTGGATTGGGCTAGAAATTAAATCACTAGTTTAGGTTGTTAAACGTTTTTGAATTCGCTAAGATTTGTACCATTAAGTTCTATCGATATGTAAACTAAGATACTTATTGCGTATAGTGTTAAAAATATAAATTGTATGAATTTGTTGCATCCTCTGTTCCACTTCGATTTAGAAACAACAAAACTACCACAAGGAACAATGGTGGGGAGTAAAAGTTCAGAACCGTTAACTTCGTCGCCTGTTTCAAGTGTTTCTTTATCGAATTTGTTTTCTGGTTCAGCATCAGCTGCTGCTATTGAAGCAGCAAATAGAATAAAAGAACTGCAGCAGAATCTTGAACAACGTGTAAGTCCTACTGTTAGAAAATTGCAGTAAATTTGTTGATTAACGTAGCCATTACGAAACAATGTATAATCAGTTGAGACATGAACTTAGGGGACAAAGTAGTGTAATGTTGTTTATATCTTTTCTTGTATAATTTGAGCCTGTACAGCACTCAGTAGACAACCGGAAAACATTATGGTGCTATACCATGAAGTATTCATCAGAATTTTTCTCTCATAAAATAGGATTGTAACCACACTAAGGGAAAAAGTGCGAATAAACGTTTTATGAACTTGAAATGTTTATTCAGTTGTTATTGTCTTAAAGTGTAAAACAGAGTTACATTTATCTGAATCATAAACTGAATGACCTGTTCCCACAATGTCGGAGTTGTTTCTGTCCTATGAGTACAGACAGATGTAAAGAGCAATATTATGACTTTTTACCAACTTACATTCAGGCATAACTCTTGTCTATCTTCATGGAGTGATTTTGACCTCTTGATAAGGACTACTGAATTATTTTTGGTAGTGACCACTGTCATTCATGGAATAGGCCAGTCAAACATGTCTTAAGTCTTTTCTCCCTAGTTTGTGAAATTTAGGAAAATCGCTACTAAAAATGCCATCCATTTTATGTATTCAGCATGCTTAATAGTTTTGTGCTGTTCATGGAATGGTACAGGTTTTCAGCGAGATGTTTTACTGTTTCCGCGAGAGATAGAAACAATTCAAAACATGATTTTCGCACTTCATAAGATGAACCAAACTTCACATTTAACAATGAACAGGTAGCCTTTAAAAATAGAAAAAACGAAATGCTCAACATGATGTAAACGGTTTATACCAAAGTGGTGACCGCAAATACGTGAAAAATTCATAAAGGTTTTATGAAACTTATAAGGAGTTCCTAACGTGACCAGACAAGTGGAGGACAGACCACAATTCATGCTTATTAGACTTCATATAGCATGTCTGCATTTCAACAGCTTATTCATGTTTTGATTCCGTGATAAAGTACAGATGTGTTTCACTACAGAACAAATATTCGTTTGCATTAGACTGATCAGCTTCAGTTGACTGGCTCAGACATTCAACTTCCAACTAGTAATTTTAGGGTTTGAACTTTTACTTCACCAACTGAGGTTTGGGCTATTGTCTAATAATACACACAGATCATTATTCATGGTACTAACATTTAACCGGTTATTGAGTTGCAATATATATATATATATATATATATATATATATATAAATTCAGTCTGTATCCAGGTAGGGTTTAGAAGGACACACTTGAAAGGCATCATTTTATTGTTGATTACTTCAATTCAAGTAGTGATATAGATTGTTAGAGCTTAGTCTAAGTGATGGAACGTTGCTCAAAGAGCAGAACTTAAATGTATTTTTTGTCTAAGATAGAGAATATATTTGAGATACATATTTTAAAGAAAAAATGTCGAGAACAGTCTCATGACACTGTATTTCAAAAAAATTATCATGCATCCTAATATCTGCTCAGAGCACATAAAGTGGATTGGTTGAGCTGACAATCGATACACTTCTATCTACAAAGATTTCACCTTGCCTGTGTATAAAGTTTTCCAAGCTCATATTTTCTTGATAGTCATAATGCCAAACATGTGTGAATTCTCCATACATATGGATGATCTTCAACTGGAAAAAGAATAAAGTCTGAAAGTCATACGTCTTCTTAAAAAAACTAGAAAGATTCTCTAACATGAGTGTCACTATAAGACTCTTCATTGTATTAGTTTGTTTTCAAAGTTGTATATTTGTTTCCAAATGGATTCATCTTCTGCTTGTTTTCAGGCATCTGAGTTACTTGCTGCTAGAAGACAAGTTATCGAGTTAACAAGCCGATCGAGAGAAAGTGCCAATTCTCTTAGTCTTGCACGAAGTGAATTAAATCGTGCCAATGATCAGGTAGGTTAAGTAAGCCATGGTAAATCTTACTGTTTTTGGGATTTGATTATTTCAAATGACAGTTTATAAGGTGTGTGCTGTGATGTGGGTCTTCGCTTTCCAAGGTATTTTAGCAAACTGATTTGTAAGTGCAATTAATTATGGTATAAAACATTTGAAGTTTCTTAAAAGAAAGTCATAAACGTAAGTTATATTTGCTGATATCTGTGTTCAATGTGTACATGTATTACTGCAAATATTTTGATTCTGTACTCATAACTATGAAATTTGTATGTTACTATTGCATTTAAGGACAATGAATATGAGGTAATGACACACTGACGTAGCTTTTAAAAGCGTAATTGAGGTCGGGCATGATTTTAAAGAGTCAAGAAGCCTTCACAACAGAACAGATCACATCGGTAGATGGTTTTCTTAAGAGATAGAAAGCTGTTGGATTGTACTTACGTCTTATAAGAAGCTGATTGATTGGGTTATCTTTCTTTAGCTGATGGTTAATTTTCTCTTTTATCTGTAGTAAATGCAATTTTAAATCATTTACCTCAAGTTAGTAAAGTTCTCAATGAATTGTAGATTTTACTTACAAAACTCTTACTGAGTGGATGTTATCATTTTCCTGCTCACTAATGAGCAGCAAACAACTTTATATTGATTGCTACTTTTCCGGCAAGTTATTCACGTTCTACTTCTGATTAGTAATCGATTCTCTTTAGCTATATGATACTCACTGGGCCCTAACGTCTCATTTCCCTATTTAGTATTAAAGGTATGAGCAAATGTTTGTAGACATTTAGTTGTTTCCCATGGTAAGTTAAACGAGAAGCTTATGAAAAAGTGATCTATTCAAAATAGAATCAAAGAGGAAAGATACTGAAATCACTCAGGTTTTCGGGAACTTTTAAGCAGGTTTCCCACTTTGAATATGATGTAGAACAAATACCAATGATTTCTTCTGGCAAGTGAACACATCACCAGCGTTCAAACTTAATAATAATAAGACAAAAGCCACTTTGTTATGTGTTATCAAATAGTATAACCCTATATTGGTGATAGAAGCCCTAGAAACTTACCCACCGAAGAGTTCTTTCACATAGTTTCGTAAAAATTTATAGTAATTAATTAGTAGCAAATAGTGAACAGTCCCACACTATTAGTCATAAATGAGAAACTTTGACAACAAATTATTCTGCATCTACTCCTATTTTCTATAATTTAAAACATTTTGTTAACAGATGTTAGTTTTAAGATTACGCAGAAAAGAGTATAGTGTTGAAATTATTCGTCTCCATGTACAGCTAAGTAGACACACAACTCGCTATCCATTCAAGTTGCCAAATGTAATATAACAGCAATGATAAAAACTAAGCAAGACGAACACCAAAAGTACGGAAATAGTATCACTATTACTTATGAGAATGCATCTAGATAGCATATGATTCGACATCTATAAGAAAAGTAATTAGGATAAATATTTATTCAGCGGAGATTCTGGAAGAAGTAATGAGAAACAGTGGAAGCAAATGCAGAAAAGCAAAGAAACAACAGAAATTAGTAAACCAGTAGTCAAATGCAATTACGATTTTGCAGAAACTTCGTTAAACTTAAAGTTTCAATATTTCAGCAGTATTCAGCTTAGTTTTTTAATAATTAGCTCTAGTAGTCTTCATCAGTGACTTGTTCTGGATTTAGTGTCACTAGACGATGTTGTGGTGTTAGCCATTTGACATAGGAAATACAAAGGTCTTTCGAAGAACTTTGAAGTTGTCGTAGAGCTGATGCACGTCCAAGACCAAAAGGTCTTGGTAGGGATACTGGAAACTCTGTTAGGAACAGGTTAGGCATAAGACGATATGGAGAAAGCTGATAATTAAGCGTGGTGATAAACTGCCGGGGAATCTAACAACTTTATCCAGAGAAATAATGGTATGCACCACTTATAGCCCTTTAATTAAACAGAAAAACCTCAGAATCAGCTGTATAAAAGTAAAGTGAACTGGAGTAAAAGTATTCAAACTCATAAAAGAAGATGAATAAAATATACAGAAAGATGAACAGTGATTAGGTATGGCTAGTTTTATTAGGAAAGTCAATTCCAGTTTATTTTGTTCGAACGGGACTACTGGTCATTGTGCTTATTTTTCACCTCGAGAACTAACGTCAGATATTTTACTGCTGCTGTTTTTACCTATCCGGTAGTTACCCCACCTAATATGAATAAAGCTGATTTGATAATCAGTGCGCTGAAACCTGGGTGTGTGTTTTCTGATAGCAGTTTTAAGGAAACCATTGATCTTGGATAAGGCTAGCAACCTAAGGAAAACTCCGACGAGTGTGAATTATTTGATTACTAGTAAATTGAAGTTAGTCCCTGAACTATCAAAACAAATGTGAGGAAAATATCTATTGGTGAGTTTCAAGGATGACCGTTTCTGAACTTTGAGAAACAATCTAAGAGAACGCTATGCTATAGAGTATTATTACAGGACAAGTTCATGCATTTTGTGCTAAAATTAACAGTAATAAAATATACTAAGACCTGTTGTTAGGAACCATGGATGTAAATGAAAGTCGGCTCGATAAGAAATGCTATTACCGTAACTTTGCTGACGGTTACGGTGACTGAATAGTAAAGACTTCAGAGTGAAAATCTATGCTAACAGAGTAGATGATAGTACAATTGTTTTTACATGACATCATTTACAACCAAAAACGAAATTGAGAGCAACCACTGAACACAGTTGATTTTCAGAAGTCCAAGGATCATCTGTTTTTTTCTCATAAGGAAATGAAGAAGTACCTTATACTGATTCTATTCTATATGCTTATATGCACATGGAAATGTAAATGCCACGATGCAAAACATTATTCGATCTTTTAAATTAGTGACGAAACATAATTTTTGAAAGAGACTTAAAAAAGCCCAATTTACTTTCATATTTTGAACAGATTGAAAGACTGTCACGTGAGTTGCGTGAAGCTGAACAAAGAAGATCCGATCAAGAGTCGTTAGCTACAAGTTTAGAACAAAGATATTTAATAGCTCAACGTGAACTTAATGCTGCCCAGGATATGACTGATAAGCTAAGAGCTGAGCTCGCTTTCAAATCAACGCAGCTTAAACAAGTAAATTTTTATGCCATTTATATTGTCTATTGTTTGGGATTATTTCTGCCTAACATGACTGGCTTGACCATATGATGTTATCTAAACTATGTTGTTTCATGATCTAACTGAGAACCCATACCCTTCTTTCAAGTTTTTTGGCAGTAAGAGGGGAAACAATTCGTAGAGGTATCGTAGAAATTATATTGTACAGAAGGAAGTTTACCATTTATCCTAGAACATCATAACTTGGTTGGCCTGCGGTAAATGCATGCAGCTTTTGAAGCGCAGTTTACTTGCCATACAATTGCTGTTCACCTTTTACAAAATTATCTGCATTTACTGCTATGAGAAGCCGCTGTCGTGCTTGCTGTAGATAATACAGCTACTGTCTTAGGGGTGCCAGCGCGTGGTATATGTAGCATTATTCGACCATAGTCGATTTGACAGGTTCCAGACAGTTAATTTGCAAAAACGGCACTAACGTTCACTGTAATCACGAAAGGTGAATGTTACAAAGTAAATATATACATATGTATTTGACAGACTACATGTTTAATTATGAGAAAATGCAATCCAGTCAACGCGAATTTTTATCCAACAAAAAGATAATAAAAAGGTTAATTAGTTATATTCCTTTCCGCAGCAAAACGAATCTTCTTTTAATAAGATTATAAGGTTGATTTAGAATTGTGGAAATCATGCTTAGAAATATCTTGGAACAACTAAACTGATTAAAGTAGAATAACGGTATTGAAAAGTGCAAACCTACCTCCACTGGATTATTGGCATTCTTCTTCTCTTTTAGAATAGAAGTATTAAAAGTCATGTCAAATAGGAACAACATTTGAAAACTGACTTCCTGAATAGGTTCAGATAAAATACTTTCATCATCCAGGTCACCATAATTCCATCTGATTCAGCGTTTAGCTATGCCACTTTGACATCGGAGTGATCATTATGCAGAAACCTGCTTCCTTCCTTAGTAAATACCATGAAAATTTGTATCTAGCCCTTAGAAGGGCAGATCGGTTAATTCGCCTCTTTGAGATGAACTATCAGTGATGAACATGAGCCCAAAGAAGTGAGATATTGATTTTGTATTCATATCAGCTGATTCCAGTTTGTGGATGGATTCGACCGATATGTATGATTTCCAGTTGCTCACTACCATTAATAGTACGCATCGTCTAACTTCTCTGCTTAAAGTGTTTCTGAAAATTCCAGATTAGATTGTTTATTTAACATAGCATGAAGGGACACAGTACAATTTGATGGATGACATTTCAAGCACAATTCGTCGCACATGTTTATATAAAAGTAATAGTATGACGTCCTAACTTCCGTTATATAGTCCAAAGGTTCTTCGTTCTCTTATCTAAAAAGTAGTACAAACTTTTTGGTTATCCACACTGTGTGATTAATCACTCCTGTTACATGTATTAGGTGTTGATTGAATGAACAAAGATTCTGTGATCAGTCTCCCCTCCACCTCCAATATAGCTAGGTGGAAGGAGTGATTGATCACAGAATTTTTGTTCATTCAATCAACACCTAATACATGTAACAAGAATGATTTATCACAAAGTGCAGATATCCAGAGAATTTGTATAGGTGAGCGCTGCTGCGACCAGTCATAGGAAGAAAATTCTGTCCAGTGCTCCCAGGTTTTCAGTGGTCTTCCAGCTGATGTCAGTCTGTGGTATATACCATCTTGAAATCGATAAATTTCAAACCCTTTAAACAAGATGATACTTTCGTGCTGATAATGCATTCCCTAAAACACGTTGTGAGATTCGGTTTTAGATTAGACTGTTGACTACAGCTTACAGTGATACGAAATCATATACTTGCTGAACGATGTTTTGGGTACTATTTGATTTCTTCCAATCGTATCACAGTAATCCAACAGATTTTAACCATATTTTATGGTCCGCAAGGTTTTCGTTCTTCATTTTCAGTATTGGTAATAATAATTAAAATTTACATATATCTGCAACGTGTGGCAAATCACCCGTTTGCATGCGTGATGAGGAACCAGTGCAACCAGAGCAATAGACGAGCTTTTTAGATTACTTAGCAGGGTCTTTTGTTCTATATTTTTCAAACATTTCGCTCGCTCATATCTTATCTTACTCTAGTCGGTCAATTTGACCTACCAATTTGACCTTCAAGTCATTAACTAGTGACTGAAGGACTAGATTTTCATGCCTAATTAAATCTGCAGGGCGTTTCGAAGCACAAAGTTTGCAGGTCTAACTGCCTTTTTCGCCAGCATTGTGAAAAATTCCATGTAAGATTTTCCTGCTTCAGTTTTTGAAAAGCATCAAAACAGAGGTTTATAATCCCTTCTTATTTATTTTAAAAATAGTACTAATATTATTTGATTTATGGTGGCTAGCGGTGAGATCCAAGACTAGTGTCTAGTTTTATTTGGGATTACTAATATGCATAACATCAGGTGCTGGTGTTCTGGCTGAAACTCGAACCCAACGTCCTCCGCTTCAAACACGAAAGCATGATCCACTGTACTACTACGCAAGGCACGAGGGACACCTCTTAAGTACCCTTTCTTTTTCTCACATCTTTAATTAAGATGAATAGCAATAATGACAGCGGATCGTAGTTTCACAGTACTCAGTATCCTTATCACGTAACATTCTAGACCAACAGTTACTTGAATGATTTAACTCACCTGCGGAGTATTGTTAGTAGCATGAAGACACTTCCAACGCTCAGTGTTGATACCCGTTGACAAGTAGTATGAACAAGAATTTCAAATACAATTATAAGCAATAAATTACACAAAATGTATTGTTTGGTGGTTTAGCGTTTTCTAAAAGTAGTCAAGGTTGAAAAAGAGCCCAATCCATACTTTACAGAATATCTGAAAGAAAAGATATTAACGTAAGGCAGGGAATCTTCACAGATGGCTTAAACTGTCATGAAAAGCATTCGTAAATGATATATCTCCTGTGTATATGGGTTGTATCATTGCCTACATTAAGTGCAGGTATCAGCTAGTGATTATTTCCTGCATTTGTTTACCAGTAAACCTAGATTGAGATATAAATATTTACCCCTGAAGTGTAATACTGACTCTTCCAGAACACTGTTTACCTTTGAATAACTTTAATCACTGGAAAACATAATTTTATTCCTTAACAAAACTGCTGATCTTATAATACTGTATCTCTGTTTGGTCTCACTTTCTACTCTGTCAAACGTCCGGTGACTTGAACCAATGACATTTTGTGTGAGATCGTATACGGTGAATGTGTATTTTGCATTCATAAGATACTATGTTATCGGATTAGAAAAAATATTCCAGTAAGAAGAAATCGAATCATTTTTTATTACAGGACAGTGCCATGTAGAGACTGTAAAATGACTAGGAGGCAATACAAGGTTATCTTCCTCTGGATTTAGACTTTTGAGTAACGTACTCCATCGATACCAAAATGAGCTAAGCCCAGTGCATTGATGTCTCGCACTAAGGATTTTACGACAGCTTCTGTATTAAAATTAATGGCGTAAAACTTTTAAGGAAACTAGCTTACTATACGGATTGATCGTAATCCAGTTTCAGAAATGGGTTTCCGTTCTCACAGTTAACAAATATCCAATGAAGAAAATAATGTCATCGGTCGACATACACATATTTATCTTTTCTCACCCCAAAACTGATAAATTATTCAGCATGCATAATTTGGCTTTAGCGGATATAACACAGAGTTGCCTAATTTACTGATAATTACCTATCGATAACGGGAAATAACTTCAAAGTGTTAGTTTTTTGAAGGCTAAGAAAAGCATTCGGTACCAAATAATAAACTCCTTGTCTGAATTCTATCTACAGTAATAATAATACATATTGCAAAGCATCTTACTGTTCTACACATCAAACGGAGAAAATAAGTAAAAGTTCCTTTTTTTAACATATTCCACAAAATAACAATTTCCAGACATGGAAATTATAATCATAAAAGTATCCAAATCATTTATGAGTCAAAAAAGACTAGTCAATTGGAAAAAAGGTTCCGAAGTGAGCCTTATTTACCTTGATGTTCTGCACTATTCTATTCATGTTACAGATAATCAATATTCCAGTCTTAACCACGTGCATTGCGATGGTTAATGAAGACTAGACAGTATTTTTCGATGAACAAAAAAAGAGAAGTGAAATTCCATTAATGCAGTATACAGATGTATGAATGTATATCTAATGCTTTTGCAGCCTACCAATCGCTTTTAGTCTATAAATGAATAGTCAAAACAAGATAAAACAGCAAGTTGCAATTACTTATGCTAACGGCTGTCATTTTTATGATGTGCACATGTTGTTATGCATCAAAGATGTAATCTCTTCCCTCAAAGTTAACAGAAAAAATAACCATAGAAAGATCAGCAATGGGGTGTTTATCAAGTTCTGTGATAAAAATCTCAATTCGATCCAATACATTTGATAGATCACTTAGTTCCTTACTAATTCATAATTTTCAAATATTTTCCGCTGTTTTAAAATTTGTTGACACAGAATAAGTATATCTTTCATTCAAAAAAGTTACATCGGTTAAAAACTTTAGTTTGCTGTAATCAGCAAGATTACTTGCGTAACATAAGATGCCGAGCTTTGACCTGTGTAGTAAGTGATGACACACTACCTGACTTAAATAAGATAAAATATTCATAAATTAAAGAACTATGTCTAAATTCTTTTCAGTGTATTACAGTAAATTGACTTAATGCAAAAGTACGTTACATCGTTAACTGCTATGAAAATATTTGACCGTGTCCCTACACTTTTGGAGATTTTTTCATTTGTTACTTATGAAGACATTATAAATATAGTGACGGTTTATTAATTGGTGAGAAACAATATATAACCAACCACATACATCAAGGGTTTTTAGTGACAAACTGATACTCTCTGAAGGAGACGCAACTACGACTTGGTGGCTCAACGCTTAACTCTTCAGTCTGTCAAGTGGTAGGTTCTGGGTTTGAATCTCATTAGAAGAATCTTTATCATGGTGCAGGGAAGTCCTGCTGATGGATCTTAAAAAATTAGAGTTTGCATTATGTATTCACCCACATAATCTGAATGTGATTATGGATAATATCAAAGCGTCCGTACAAGCGATGCAACAAATTTTACTGAATGTGCTTTTGAATATCATCATCCAGGAAGACCCGAAGTTCTGATGGCGATCGAATTACGTCCTTTTATGATGAATTAGTTAGGATAAGGGACAGAGGATTTTGCGGGTAAGCTATTTGTAACACATATAGTGAAATTCAGCACCACCCTGTAATACCTCTTAAAGTCACAAACCCAGCTGATTAGTTACAAATGGCAAGTAAGTCATCTTCTACATTTCACTACTGCTGGCTACTGAAATAACTACAGGTTGAAAGTGTTTGGGTACATGGTTGGCAAAAAGTGGACCCCCAGATAAAAAATTAGTGGCAAAACCATCTTTTAGGTCATCGTTCCAATAGCTTATGAGTACTTGAATGAGTTATCCTTGAGTCCATTGAATATTCGCAGTAAACGAATGAGGATCTTAGCTAAGTTCTACATTGATAAACCAATATATGGGATGAATAAGTGGAATTCAAACTCGTATGTCTTTAAATGTAACTATTATTAAGAATGACTTTTAAGCCCCACCTCACTAAATTATGAGGAATGAGCTAATTAAACTCCACTGGAATATTCACTTCGTTTTCCTCGATGATATCATGATGACATTTGAAAGTGACTACCAAAAGGATTCTCAATGAATATTTTCGTCATCACTGTTCACGTTTCAGCAATTATTAATTTGATGATCTCAGAGCTATCCACAAAGCCACTGAATTTCTGTGACAGCTGTTTAAGCAGTGGATTTATGTTGCTCATGCAGTTGGTTGTAATTAACATTCTAAAAGGTGTAGAAACACTGACGTAATAAAATTAAATTCAGAAGAATATTAACGATATACATATGACGACATAATATTAAATAGTTGCAAAGAATATATAATACGTTTTAGCTGTGAACTAGGGTTTGGAAACGGGAGTACTTTCATCAATATGAACTTCATATTCACAGATGCTTGATAAAAGAACCCCACATTAATGCATCAAAAATACATTACTGTCATGAAAATATATTTTATATTGAATTCGTTCGGTCCTGATTATACTTGACAGCTGAAACTGAAGCTAATCGAACCTCATTTCAGACAGCCTAAGTGAATATTGAATTCAGATATAGAACACTCGGTGAAGAAAGTAAGACTGTCACTGGCATTATATGAAGAAACTGGGTTATGTGTTACTCATGTCAGCTCAGTGTATTTTCGTAAAGACGATAACAGCTGCAATATGATTATGTCGTAGGAAGGATAACTGTAACTAACCTAAGAAACCTCAATAACTCCCTATTCCAAAACCACAGGTTTGAGTTGTGAAGGTGAGTTAAAGGTTTCCAGATGGTGTCTTTAAGATGTTAGGAATCATTGCCTTGAAGTCTTTAGTCAGCTGGTTGAGAATGGCTGAAATTGTCGTATGCATATGCGCACTCTATCCTGTAAACTTCCATGTCTCAGTTCGTTCCCCTCTTATGTCCCTGCGTCTCATTTTTAATTTAATTTGTTTTTGTCCGGTTATTCTCCCAGTGACGTTGCTAAGTGTTGCAGCCTGAACTAAGGCACCCTGTGTAAGATTCTAAAACAATATATATATATACATATATATATATATATATATATCTTAATGTAAGGAACATTTAAAAACCTTGCGTATCATAGTGGTCAATCATGGCTAGCAGTGGAATCTAGGGTGTGTTCTCTCCTGTTTGGGTTTCTTCAGCTGAATAGACCTGCATTCCCAATGTGCTGCTGTTCCCCTACAATTCGAACACAACATCTATCGCTTCGGATGCCAGAGCGTTATCCACTTAGACAAATTACCGACAACAAGAGACAGAAAGCAGTAATAACAACCTCGATGAATCTTCTATTAGATATTAGCAAGCTATATTGGAATTACTATTTGATTTATATGTGTGAAAAAACCATCGATATCTTATGATTTCAACATAAAAATTTGGCAGTAGTAATGGGTGAATTTGATTATTTCAAGAAGATTAAAGGACATATCCAAATAAGTCTATATAAACGTTATCTGCATCTGAATTGACATTCCGACTGAACCCCTCTCTAGGTGAGACTGAATAGTTCAATTCAACGACTAGAACTAACATTTTAGTAGGATTGATGGTACTATTGATTTATTAGAGCGAGCTATGACATCAGACCGATAGGTGACTGAAGAAATACTCAATTATAAAAATATTCCGGTGCCTAGCATCGATACTGTCATATCAGAAATAATACGAATTCTGGGCTAGTCAGCTGTTATGAGGAAGACTGAGGAAGACTGAATGACCCACATATAGAAAGGGATAAAAGGTTGGTTTGTCCCATGTAACAAGCCTTTATGCTAAGATACCAATAAATATGACTTTAGTGGCAAGCATAAGTCAGTTAAATATCAACTCACAAATTGCAAAACAGAACTAAGGTGTTGGTTAATGAGATCACACTGAGAGTACTGTTGTGTCTGACCTCCATTGTCTTCACGTTTCTTCAAAAAATATATCGACTAGCAGTAGCGATGAGATCACTGATAAGCCCAATCTTAGCAGATATATTTACGGGTAGCTGAAGATAAATTACCTTAAAAAAATTTAATCAAAATTACAAGAAATGGTGATGATATTTTGGCGAGACACTTATCACGTTGAAATCGAAACGCATAGTTCCAAGGTCAGAACAGTAATTAAGGTTTAATTTAATGGTTAGGCAGTTTCAGTTTTATAGTACCTAGTGTCCAACTATTTGAGGAAGAGTTCTCAACTAGTATTCGCATTCCTTAAAAATAGCATACAGTGATACAGTATAATTTACTTGATGAAAGCTTGAACTGGAATTATAGGTCAAAATGTTGTCGGAGTGATCACACAACTTTTGAAATCGTACTTTTCCCAACCAATAGCCGATAAACACTTTCAAACTATGTGGTCACAATTGTTATTACAATTTTTAAGACGGCTAGTGTACTGACCTATTGTTTCATATTCGTAGCAGTATAGATTATGGTTAGAATATGGTGCATATTACGCTTCATGTTAATGTTTTACAGCCGGTTCAGATTGAGAAATGCTGCAACAGAAGTAATAATTGAAACCCAATAAAAGATATACTTACATATCGGTTTGAAGAACAAGGAGCTGATAACACTAAGATAGATGGATAACTACTTTTCTTTGAACTATAGAGTTATCATTGCAACGATACAAATGACTGCCTAAGCCTTATATATTGATGATTTATAATAATCCTGGTTCTGAAAAATGGCCAACAGAAACTAATCTGTGTCACATACTAAACTAATAAAATACATACATGTTAATACGAAGTCTGTTTATTTTCTTAGACATATAGATTACTTAATTTATGCTATAAATCTTTCCTCCGCTGATAGTCTTCACATATCCACTTAAAACGGAGTTGGCATAATGTAAACAATTTCTTTACTTCATAAAACATTTAAATTTTACAGAATAAAATGCTTATAATGCTTTCGCCATAAATGTTTTTTGCTTAAAGATGTTCTTCAATTCATGAAGACCTTTACAATGTACCAATATCAGTCAATGAAGTGCTAAAAATTAACTAAAAGTAGACGGGTATTGTTTTAGATTTATGATTTGTTGATACCTTTAAACTTTTTGCTTCATTTCTGGTTGGATCATGGCTCGTATTCTCGTAGTCGTGGGTATGCCTTTAAATGGACAGTGAGATTAAATAATGGTACTTGGGTCTTTCTGGTTCACTTTATATTTCGGTATCATCTGTGGTCTTTGTCTTTTCCAACTCGTTTTTGAGTTACATGTCAAAACTTTTCTGCTTTATGGTCATTAAATTTAGGTGATGAATTATCACTGAAGTAAGTGATTTTGATGCTAAGTGTTCAAGTAATTCCTATAGTACACCTAATATTCCTTCATTTCTGTTTCTGTTTAGCAAGAGGAGAAAGTCCGAATGTTGCAGATCAAGCTTGATGCTGTCGAAGATGATTTATTGCAGAGCAGATCGATTTCAAATCATCTACTGAATACGTCGTCAAGAAGCAAATATATTAATGAAGATGATGACGGAATCGAAGAGAGTGAAGAACATTTTTGTTCTGATGAAAGTAATCCTGAGTTAATGAATAAACAAGCATCAGATGGTGAGGTAGAATTAGAGAATGATTCAGTTATTGTCCATGAAAATAAACATGCAAAGAAAAGGAAACCGAACGAGTCTTCCTTGAGATTGATCAATCGTTCAAGGTGCATCTCCCAACAAGACTGGAATTCATATGAAGACAGAATAAAAGAACTCACAGATGAAATTGAAGAAGTTCGACAGGAGTTAGCTCGTGCTAAGGAAAGAGAGATTATTAATGAAGAGCATATAACACGTCTATCCGGCACGGTAGGTTTGCATATCATATATACTTTATCAATAATTTCTCAATACGTACCTCTTCTCCTTTTTACAACATTTTACTTCAAGAAGGTCTGCTAGAAAAGGTTTAGTTTATATGATGAGTTCCAGCATAAAATATGCAGGATTCCATTTGCCTTCAAGAGCTTTAAGAAGGTTACCGACTGATCAACACTACTGCATAGAGTGGTGATTATTGTATCTAGGTAAACGCCTTTTGAACGGTTGGGTTTGAATTAAACTTATACTGGTTCAAAACTAAATTCAGATGGCTTATTTTTATATTTCAGTAAGTATGCTTTAACATGTGAGTTTGTCACAAATGATTTATTAGGTTTTGAATTCTCCCTAGTCACTAAATCTCTTATGCGTTTATCATCTGGATGAAAATCCTGTGATTGTTAGGTTTTCATCAAGGTTAAGGACAAAGAAAGTGAGTAAGTAAACTTATGTTCCTTGTTTCGATAGCACTCTTTCTCCAACCTTCTTTTATTCGCACAGCCGTGTAGAAGTTTACATTAATTAGTTGCTTACACTAATAAAAACCAGGGACGTCCTACCGAGATGTACACTATAATCATTCTGGTTAGTTTCTGATACATATTTGCTGAGCAGAGTGATTCTGTTCAACTCCGATCTTTGTGAAGTAGTCATAATAGCCAAGTAATATTGAGTGGATGTAGAGTAAACAAATTGCAAAGAGGTTTCGAGACAACCAGCAGAGTTCTCTTGAACCAGGTTTGGCTACGGTTGAAACATTAACAAGGCGTACTTGGAACCATGAAGAAACTGATGTTCCGTTGATGGTTTGAAATTGCTTTGCGAATCGTTGGAGCCACGTTATTTGCCACTGACCAGTCAAAGAATCAGTGGTAATTTGAAAGCTTTGGACAGATGTTTCTTTCTGGTATGAGAATTCTCAGCTGCCCACACTCACGATCCTATTGGTAATCGGGCACAGGACTTTCAGGTTTCACAACCATGACGTTACCGTTGAGCCACTTAGTCAAAATCCATTGGTTTACATTTTCCTACTTCTGAAAATTAACGAAGTAGCGTGACCTCCATTTTACACCACTGATGCGAATTTATCCCCAAGAACAACGCGGTTCGGCCCACCAGTCACGACGTCTCATCAGAAATTCATGAAATCTAATCTCAGAGCAAACATCTATAAGGACTGGACATCAGTTTAGTCTGGAAGTGACTGCAGATTTCCAATGGTTCTCCAACTTAGGTTAATGCGTGATGAATATAGAACTGAAGTCTGTAAAATCGTCACAAAACTCCAAAGTGAACTACCTTATTGCTAAGCCACTCAGACCACATGTGACCACCTGTAAGTCTGGATTTTATACACAGATTTGTCAGCCATGGGTAACCCCCCTAGCTATCTTATTCGTAGTGCTGGTCACTGAGAGAAGTTGTGAACTGATACTGATTAAAAAGATAGACGTTAGATATTTCATATCAGATATGTCGAGCTTGTTGGATAGAGATATTGTAAAATGTCGAATAATGAAGAGAAATAAAATATTTTTACATAAGTTACCGAGTGAATTTCTTCTTAACCTTAAAGTATCAATTCCTAAATTAACTGTCACACCTGACCAACTTAGATAAGAATAGGAAAAATTCATCCTTCAGTGTCATCATATTTCCCTCAATCAGCTAGCTAAAACTTTTTATTCCCTTTAAATTGGCAGACTGGTAAGCCACAATGTCTTACCTTCAGAGTACAAAATCTTCATTTGCATTCATTATTTCATTGTCCGATGTCATTTTGTAATCTGCCCTAAAAGTATTTAATAAAGGTTTAGAGATTAAATAATTGAGCAAAACCTGTATCTTCCTAGATCATATTTGAATATAGATGAATGATCGATGTATTTTCTCATATCATAGAGAAGCTTATAAAAGATTCCCTAGGTGATTGAAGCAAAGTGAATTTTCAATCAAAGATGCTGAAGAGTAAATAAAATCGCTTACAAAGTAAATAGACTGAAACAGTAATTATTATTTATTCTTGTGTTTTTTGTTAGGAAAAATAGGCAGTATTAATAGATATACCTGTTTAAGAGTTTATTTTCCCAGCAAACATTTTTTTTTCTTGTGTAAGTGTAATTGTGTATAAATGTATGAAAGCAAGGTGAACTAGATAAGGGTAACAGGGAAAGGAAATATAACTAAAAGCAGCTGAGTTTTCTGCAAAATTTGCAGTGTCAGTGGTTTGGAACTGTTTCAATGTGAATAGTTAACAGGAAGATTGTTTGCTTAAATTACCTGGCTTTACTTCCGATTCGAGTAATAAATCTACTCACTGTTATTCGGAAGCCATTGCAAAATGGACGTTGTTCACCATGCGTTATAAAAACGTGTACATATTCGGTACATTAGTTGTCTGTTGACAAATTTCTAGTATTATTGAACAGTGGATGACCCACCCTAATGAAATGTTGTAGCTGCTGGTATGATATGCAGTGGACTTCTTTTCACGATGAAGAATGACATATTGTCTTTTTTTAGTACATTCATTTGCAGGGGTAGTAGTACTGGTTAAGTCACAGGTATCCAGTCAGATATTCTGGCCTAACACTGCTCATTATAATATTTGGCACATAAAAACACCAGTAAATAAAAAACTAATTCGGGTGACACTAAATGAAATATTTGTCTCCGCAATTTTTCATTTCTGAAATTCGCGTAGTGTACCTTTAGGTAATTTCCATAGTGTTTTATAAAAACGCCATAATGTAAAAGCAGCCCCTGGACATGTCATAAACTACCACCTTAATACATGCCATAACCCAGAAATATTCATTTCACCCTCAATTATCATGCCAAATTGTAAGTTTGGGTGTGTCAAATTGAGAACGAGGTAGTTTCAACAGTAATTGTGCAGGTGATAAGCACCTAGGTGGTCTTCTGTGTTGATAATTTAGAGACATTCTTATCACAAATACTCTTCATATCTGAATAAAGAAATTTATTAACTTGACTGAGACATAACTTTTTAAAATGTTCAGACTAACTTTTAGTTCTAGTACGCTGTCTACGAAATATGTATTCTCCAAGCAAGAATGTCATACCGGAGCAAATGTGGTTGATGGACAAGACTTCAAGGTAGTTGTTCATGGCAGAATAAAGTTTTCAACTGAAATCTATTCACCTTAACCTGAAAAGACAAAATGGTATAACATATGTTTATTATTATGCCTATTGTCCTTGATATAAGATAAATAAGCGGCCCATTCACGCTCTAAGCTTAACTGGTAGGGAAAAATGACTAATATTGTAAGAAATATTAGGAATTCAAAATGTTTTCGAAGTAAACAATATAAAATATGAGGGTCAACCTTGGAGCTGACATTCTGAGTAAAGATCTGTATCTTGAATACCGAATCAGATACTTTGGGAGTAATTTTTTTCATAACATAAAGTTCGATTTAATCATGGCAATTCCATCAGATGAAAATTCTATTATTGTTGCTAACTAAGAAGAGATAACAAACAAAAAGTTTTCCTTTCTTCTCAAGGTTGATAAACTACTACAAGAATCAAATGAGCGTCTGCAAAATCACTTACAAGAGCGTATGTCAGCGCTAGAGCAGAAACAATATTTAACCAATCAGATTGAACAGACAAGGAGAGCTTTAGATTCTGCTATCAGAGAACGCGAAGCGAATATAACTGAATCAGTTTTGTGTAGACAGCAATTATCTGAATTGGCAGCAGCTTTTCGTCATTCACAAGCTCAACTTGCAGCTGCTCACACATCAGCGTCAGCGGCACAAGCTGCAATTATGGCAGTAGTCAGAGCATCGGCTGAAAAAGCCAGTATGGAAAGACTTCAGCAACAAAATGCGGATATTTCTATTCAAAGCTCAGGTACGTCACAATATAACTACAGTTTTATAGAAGTGACATCAAAGTAGAGTGGTATCTTAGTTTTATCGTGTTTTCTGAGGTGAGTTGTTTGATCGTGGAGTTTGTATCGTCTTTGTAGACAATACCATCAGCACTAACTTCATTATTTCATACTCCACCATATTCTCCACTATTTCCAAAAGTAAAGTGGTATCTTAAGCTCAGGAGCGCTTGAAGGCCATTCAGTTTATGTTTCCACTTTAGTAGTAATTTTAGGAACATTTATGTTTTGCATCAAATACTGAGTCGTTAGTTACTTTAGCGAATGTCTGATCACTGGTGGTCGGTTAAAATTTCGGTTTGTCATCATTCTAATTCTGAAGTATGTTCATGAAAGATGGACCAGACAGTTTCAACAATGAGTTGGTTCTCTTTCCTAAGATTTATTTTACCTATTACACTGCAGTATTCAGTTCAACTTCTAGGAATATAATCTAAATGTTTTAGTAATGAGGGCTAGATGTTGACTTGGGCAGTGGTGTTTAAGGGCACGATAATCATCCATGCGGTTGTGTTTGAAATATTTGAAAGTATAAATAAAACAGAATATCAGTTTTTAATGCCTTTTGACGAATTGAACATGTTTGAGATATCAAATTTCAAATTATTGCTTAAAATTGAAAAATAGATTTCACGTTGATCAAACGAGTAAACATGTAACACGTTTTTCTTATTGGGTAGATAATTTTTGAGTTCATTCTTATCACGAATGGTTGATAAATACTCATAATAATGTTTCATCCTGATCTAAGGTAAGCTGAGATTATCAAACAAAACTCAAAGAATCTAAAGTGATCTACATTTCTATCTGCAATTATTGATAAAAATATCAGTTTGAAAATGACATATCAGTCATTAGAATAATTTCACAGGTGAGTACTAGAAAAAAAAGAAACATGGATGTAACATTTGGAGGATGAACGCAATCCACAACTGTGTTGTATCAAGTAATTCTATCGAGGTAATTGAAAATAAAACAGAATACGAAGGTCATTTAGCTACATACGACTGCAATGAATGTTAGTGAATGAATAAGCAGCCTAACTTTAGACATGACCATCAAAATGATCTACATACTTTGCTTTTATTTTGAGATTGGTGTCAGTAATGTTAAGTGTGAAGCTGTTGATCTAAAGCTCACTACTTAAGCCACTTATTGTTGATTAGGCAATCGGATGGTATCTTAACTTACAAAATAATGAATGAGGTTATTAGCTCAACTCAGAGACCAGTAAAGGACTTAAAAGATTTTATTATTTACTAATACTTAGGTGTAGGTATGTCATTCACAAATTAGGTTGTTTTCATGTTCATAACACTTCCTTAATAACAAAGGATTACTCATCTTGTTTCCTTTATATGCACTGAACCGAGCACATTCGAATGCAGAGAGATACTGAAGGTGAATTCCCTAACTTATAGGCTTCACTTTGTTTTCTGAATTACACAAAAGTTAGTTAAATTTTATTTAAAGAAGTTACGGGAAAATTTATTGATTTTATCATTCAATGAACTCCTTGCGTAAAAGTTTCCCATAAAACGATGCTTTTCTAAGAAGTAAATTCATGTACACCTAATTATAGTTATGGTAACATATCTGTATTCAAAGTATCTGTATGGTTGCCATTCTTCATACTTACTTCAGTTTTTAATCTAACTGTTATTACTCTTAAATGTTATTACGATTTGTTCTGCAGGTATAAGAGAACAATACAGTACTGAACAAAGCAATCCAGTGGATTTAATTTCAAGGTTGATAACAAATACATGGATCCCTTCGCAGCTCAATAATACTGTAAGTCAAACTTTACATAATCTATTATGCTACCAGAGTAATTAAGAAGTAGTCGGAATTCAGCTTTCAGACACAATTTCACGAACGCTTGCCTTTTTCACTAAAGCATGCCTACTAACTTGGGAAAATCATTTTTATCGAAAGCATCCAAATGATGTTATACCTTTTGTACTCAGAGATTTTGGATGACAATGAGGAATTGTTTGAATAAAAATAACAGTAGTTTATACTTTGCTCTTTCAAAGCTCAAGATGTACCAGTTCCGTCAAAGAGATTTGAAACTAGTGTCTAAACCTCTGTAAAGCATCACAACCACTCAACCTGTATGCCATTCGATGAGCATGCAGAGCTATACTTCATAGAAATTTAGATCTTCAAATTACTTTCCAAAGATATGCTGACGAGAAGTTATAACAGTATACGTATGTGATAATAATGAAGGATAGCGGGTGACTGTGGAATCCAGGATGAGCGTTCATTCCCACTTGGGACACTTCAATTGAATAAACCTGCTTCCAAGTGAGGGATATTGTTCACACTAAGACTCGAACCCAAGATCAATCATTCAAAACGCCAGAGTGCTGTCCATAAGCCCATTGATTCAGGGTAACCACTCATTGTGCGACACATATAGTATAGTTTTGATGTTAACGCTATAACATAGCCACACGTAAGTGTATTGGATGTAATTTGTAACATATTAACTAAAAAAGTGAAAGCATGAGAATTATATATCATGGTAGACTTATTTCAGTCATAAAATCTAAAGGTTAAGTTGGTTTCTCAAAATAATCTGATAACAGTAATGTCAGTTATCAGAGACAAATTTCTGTACCAATATCAATGCTATAAGTTAACATTACGAACTTAAGAAAGGTAGGATGGAAGTCTACAATTAGAAATTTACAGAATAAGGGCCTGCATTTTTATGACATTTTATCCATCATAAAAGGATAAAGTGATAGTCTGTGAATGAACTTGCTGACGGGTAGGAATAAGCATGAAATCTAGGTCTTGAACTCCCTGCAGATTGTTTCCATCCTCTGAAATCAGTCAAAGCAGACCATAGTACTGGCTCTCCTGGTTTAGCAACTGTATTGTCAAATGGTCAAAAACACTTAGTACTCAGGATCCAGAAGCAAGTAACCGGTTATTTTCCAGTGATCGATCAAGGTAACTATTCCAGTCGTACAGGAGGTCGGTGGTGGTCCAAGTAGCTCAGAGGTAACGTCGTGACTTTAACACTGAGGGCTCGTGTTTGAGTCGCCAAGGCATAATTAGCTTCCACATGGTTGCAGATACATCTGTCTGATGAGTGGCTAAAGATGCACAACCTAAGTCCAGATTCTTCTGTTGATTTGCCTAAACTTTGAACCTGTGCAATAGTAGCAAGTGGGAATGCCACCTGCAAATATCAATTTGAGAAGTAATTCACTTAGTAGAAAAAGACTAGTACTTCAAACCTTGATGAAGAACTATAAGTAGAAACTGAGAAGCTTAGTAAAAAAAAAACTTACCATTAAGGCTACTGGGAAAAATCGTTTAGTGATCATCAGCTATCTTGAAAAGGCAAATCTGAAACTGATCAAGTTTAGTCGCCTGCAAACGAAGGTGAATTTTTATTTATCGAATAGCTTTTAAATGTAAATCATTCGTATTAAAAATTATCACGGTTTCATTTTAAGGTCTCATTATTGTGTTGGACAGCATTACCAGCGAAAAACTTAGAAGCAGTAAGTTTTTGCTTCTTTCCGTAGATATCTCTATACTTTGATGTGAAATGAAGAATGTGGTGACACGTATGAAGAAATTTCCATCTTGTGCAGGCGATAGTTCCAGCCTACTAGTTAAGAGGTTGTGATCAAAACACTTAACTGAAATAACACAAATGAATGATAATAAGTCACTTGAGATACATATATTTCTTTTTAAAGTGTGTCGATGCGATATTATTGAATGTTCACTGTGAATGAGCAAAATGTATTTAGAAACTTAAGCGCTTCGTTCACGACGAAACTTTGAAGAGGTTGTTGTGAAATGGTACAAAGCAGTGTATCGCCTTCAATCGAGTAGCATATGTGATGTCTGGCAAAAGAAGGAAGCTGTGCTTTTACACGAAAATGTCCTAGTTGTAGATGAGCAGTTGAACCAATAATCTTTTATAAGGCTTATTTCTACTGTAGATGCTTCACTTGAGACTTGTTTGAATAAGAAGTGAGTTGTCTCATAAATCTGACAAGAAAAAATTTACTCATTACGTCCATACGTATTTCAGAATGTACTGTGATATAATTAGCATAAAGAACATTAAAGTTAGCTAACCATTGCATTTAAAAGTAAGCGAATCGCACCAAAAACATTATTAGATACGCTGTCAACAAAAATGTAAGCATTACATCTTTGGCTCATTTTCATGTGCAAAAGTAAACCATTCGGTATTGTTGAGAGAGATTAAAGAAGGTAACGTTATTTTTAACAATAATTTGTAAATTTATGCATATCAGTCTCTTTCAGATTATACTGTTAAAATTTAGGAAGTGATGCTTTTTAAGGTGGAATGTAAGACCAACAGATGAGCAATAACGTACTCAGAATTTTGATCCTTTGTTTTGAAATAAATTTTCATAGTGATATGTCTTAGATTATCTTTCACAGTAAAAGTATAGTGATTTTTTTAAAATCCCACAAACGAATGTACATATATATCATACTTAGTAAAAATGCTTTAATGAAACTGTCACACAATATTTTCCAAATTTTTCTAACCGTGTGATTTATAGGAACAATCATTGGAAATCAATCCTCAAGTTGATATGAACACTTCAACATTTGTAAATACGGCTATTAATGCTGCAAATGGCAATAATAATAATTTAGATGAATTCCATCAACCTAATGATCTGCAAGAAATGCTACTTCAACAAAATCTAGCTAATTACAATGCTGCATCCTCACAAATAAACTCAGATGGTAACAATCAACTATCAATAAACGAGATTATCAATCTGATCAACATGAAACAGCAAGTGCCTAGTACTACATTACGATATAATACCCAAGGGGGTGAATCTGACTCAACAGCTAATCCTCAGTCATTAGCGTACATGCTGAAAATCAACTGGATGCTATCAACAATGAGATTCAATTGATTCAAGTGAGCAAAATAGTCTAGGGCATCTGGTTTTACTACATATATATTTATATTTGACTTAACAATATCCTTGAAAAATAGGAATGTAAAGTAGTTCCGGAAAATCTCTTTATCATTAATTCTGGTCAGCTTTTTAGTTGAAAAAAGCCTAGATAACTTACATTTGACGGAATCATTTCAACATGTTTCTAACCCTTGAGAATTTTGACCAAGACTTTGAAGAACAGAACTGTGTACACAAGAGTGTCAGCAATGCGCACCAGGTGTATTTGTCAGTTTGTTAGTTCTCTGCCTTGATTGAACAAGTTTCCTCTTAGTTGCAGATACGTCAACAACTATGAAACTTAGGTTCAGTTAACTCCAAAAATCCATAGCCAAAACGCATAGTACTGAGAAGCTATTTCGCCTACCTTGGTGACTGCATAGTCACTCTGATTGATAAACTTCGATTGGAGTTCAGGGTAAACCACTGAATAGTCACATCGATTACCTTCATGTGACCAAGTGTAGTGTTTACTACACGTTTGCTCGGTAACAAAGATTATTAACGATGCTCAGTGATTCCTAATTTCACGATTGTGCACAGATGAATTGTCACTTTTTATGACCATTACTAACATCTTCAAAAAGCATTTAGTATGATCACCAATACGAGGATTTCAGAAGAATCTGTCAAATTATCTAAACCTGCACTAATTACATAAACTATGATCAAGATTTGATCGTATGGTATGGCAAATATAAATGTTACCAATGGCCCTTTTGCCTGATACTTACAATCAAGACGAATATGAATTGGAGTACATACATACATACGCCGTGCAACAGAAGATATACAAGTTCACACTGAATGATTAGTTATCATAATTTAGGAAGACAATGACTACATGAAGAGGATTGGACGAGGAGATTAAATATACGTTTTTTGAATTCACTTATATATCCTTGATATTTTAATTTTGATTATTTCCCTGAAGAAGCTCGGACCAGGCTTCCGTGAGAAACGTTGGAATTATTTGATTTCAAACCTGCTGTGATTTACACAAATACAATTCTTTATCTAATGTCTGCACTAATTAGTTGGGATCAAATTATTGCTAGTAATGTCGTAATCGTTAATGGAAGTGTGTGGGAAATGAATAGTAAGAAATTTGAACTTCCTATTGGATACCTTGAATTCCTTTATAACTATCAACACCAGATGCTCAAACCGGGAATCACCCCATTTGAAATGTTTTCATCATTTTTTATCCTACAAGCATTTTTCGACGTATTCAAAAGCTTTGCGATAATTAACTGGTTTGAAGAATTTTCCAATTAGGTCATTTTCCTGTAATCGAAAAAGGAGCTATTTCATATAACTCATGCATTCTCAGAAATTGAAAAAGGCCATAAGAACAATAGCAGCGGAATTTGCATGCATATATAGAATACAGAATACAATGTTTGTGATAAAAAACATATTGTGCATTTTTTAATAAATCGACAAGAATGTTTTGATTGAAATAGAAAGTAACAAAGATTTAGGCTGAACGAGATTGGAGAAGTTATCAAGATAACTCAAAGGTTGATTATTTAAACAGTGATAGAATGATTATTCTAGAGAAGTTAACAATACATTTGGTCTGATACACACTGACGCCATTGAAGGTTGTATATGTTCTTCTTATTACAGCGCTCAGTCGGTGACTCATCTGTGTGGCTAATTCATCTCCTTTGAAGGTTAGGGGTAGACAAACGAGCTTCCTGTTAACTGTGCTGCACTTTATTCCACTTGTTTCTGTCCTGTCTTTCGTATTAATGAACTTTTTGGATAACCATAGTCGTAGACGCTGTGATAAAGGTTTGTTCCTCCCCAGTCTTCTCTTCTGAGCAGAGCTTATGGGCACAGTTGAATAGTGTCCATACTAGAAATTTTTCCTGGCAGGTTAGGCAAAAGCTATTGAAGTTTATGTCAGGCTCATTCCGCGTGTCTTTCCGACGAATGTTCCTACAACTCTATTTGACGCTTTAGGCCGAGGTCTAGAATTTGAAATCAGCTGTTTCGTTCAGTTTCTTTTTTGAGTAATAAATTAGAGTGGAATTCTTTAAAAATACTCAATAAATGAGGGGCATGTTAACCATTTCTGCATATAATAAATGCATCGTAAACGTAACTTAAGTAAAATGCCCTTTGGCCGATTGCGTATTTTAGTTCCGTCTGTTCTAGACTCGCCTTAATTTTTAAATACGGAATTCCAGAAACCTAATTTTCTCCCTTACTTTTCTATCTATTTCAAAACTTACTCTATTTTTTGAGTTGAGTTCTTGTAATTACTCGACATAATGAAAACCTGTTGATCTATTACACCTAATCGGCCATGATGTCAATTTTATCAATTCTAGAACAAACTGTACACAACGCCCCCCTCCCTCCTTCTGCATGCATATATACATATGTATTGTTGACTTCTCTAGAATGATCATTCTATCACTGTTTAAATAATCAACCTTTGAGTTATCTTGATAACTTCTCCAATCTCGTTCAGCCTAAATCTTTGTTACTTTCTATCTCAATCGAAACATTCTTGTTGGTTTATGAAAATACCTTACATAACAATAGCAAAGAAACCAAACGGCCTCGTTTCCGAGTGCAATTTATGCTCTCAAAAGCCAGGTGGATATACACATTCTTAGAAGAAAGAATTTACGCTTTCCCACTTTTGGTTTGCGAAAGTCATGTTTCTCTGTGCAGAGGTACTGATAATGAGTTCGTCAGTCCTACATCTGCCAAAGAACAACCTTATCGGCGTGCCTGTCATGGCTATTCTTGATGAAATATTCACTAATTTCGATTTACTGCCTAAAAATTAAAAAAGGTGAAAATTATAATACAGCTGCACAGCATGATCGAATCACTACTGGTTTTGTCTGACTGCGAAGATGAATGACATAAAATTCACTTTTCAGATCACCCTTGGCGACTGAACTGAATTTTATGTCTGATCTGCAGCTGGACGTTTAAGCTCAGTTACTAAGGCATCGGGCCGGAAACTTAGAGGTCGCTGATCCACGGTTCAGATTTCCATTTCACCTTCAGTCATCACCCAGTATAAGATAGGTGTCAAGAATGAGAATTTCTCAAGTGATGATTCATTCTTCGTTATTGAAAGGAATTACTGGATATCCTCAAATCTAATTTTCACAACTAAAGTAAACAAAATATAAATTTTAGTTGTGAGTCAAAAAGATGCAGACCACCGTTTTTATCTTTTTGACTCTTTTTATAATGGTATGTGCTTTGTTCCTTAGTAAACCATGTAAAAACACCAATAAACACACCAGAATGAGCACTTACCTATAGATGTGACAGATAACCATACAGTACAGAGAAATGAACAGAGTTTTAAATTGTTCTTTTCTTGTTACAACGCAATGACCTAATGATGACGAGTTCTCTGGGAAACTCGAATACCACAAAGACAAGGTTAAATAAAATTGAAGCGTCCTAAATCGTCATGAAACGTAATGATTTCTCTTTCGAACACAATGGTGATGAAGCTGATATAGACTCAATTTCAGTAGGAAAACATTCAAGAATAGACGTTCAGCTATTTGACTGACATCGAGAACTATCACGATTCCTATTCAAATTAAATCTTTATTAGGTAATGACACAAAATTTCACTTCGTTTGAACTTAGGGACGGCCGATTTTTTCCCCCATCCAACTTAATATTTATATCAAGTGTGATAAATATTTCCTACAACGTCATAGATGTTTGCTGAGAATTAGAAATCAACATAGTGGTAAGACTGAGTCTTCTAACAAAGTTGTTCTCCAAGTCAGGGTTTTGATGATAACGATGTTCAATATGACACACTTTTTCGCCCGAAATCCCACTTACGAAATTACTCTTAACGTCCATATCTCTAGCTTAAAATATCCTTTACCACATCTACGAATAAATCTGTTGTAACATGAAAACATTTTAACAATTCGAAAATGACTTGTAAACAGTACTGAAAGTTTTTTGTAGAAATTGAAATTCGAAAATCTAAAGTAACCTGGTCTTTTGTCAGGGAATATAATCATTGTATAGGAAATTTTACCAAATACACCTCATAAACTTTCTGTTCAGGATGAACTGCAGTAGTATACGTTATCAAAATCCATAGTAGTGAAGCGAGCACTTATTTCATAGCTACATTTTTTAAAACCAAACTGAACAATCCTGTTTTCAAATGAAAATTTTAATAAAGTAGAATTTTGTAGTGAAACAGTGTGTGCAAAGTCGGTCTCACTACACGCCTCCTACAAAATGCTATCAAAAGTCTACGCCGCAAGATTTTTAATGAGTCTAATACTAAACCTTGATAAATTGTTGCGTTTGTTTAAGTAAACTAATGGAATCACTGAAAAAATGTCCAGTCAAAGTTTGATCTTTCTTTCCAGAATGAAAAAGTTACTACAGAAATGCTAGCCGAAGAATTACAAGGACGATTCGGTACACTAGATATAAATGTGGATAATGCAAGCCGTCAGGTAAAAACTAGAAGTCAAACTATAGATGATTACGTAGTGAATGAAGATAATGTTCAACAGGATGCAATTAGGAGTGGTGGTAGTTTTGTTGACGGCGTTAGCTCCACACACAAACAAGCGACACCTGCAATCCATTATTCTTTAAATGATCATACTGCAAACTCAGGAAGACATGTGGTAAGCATTTTCATACATTTGACTACTTTACATAGCATTTTCATTTTATTTTATTGTCTACAGCCTTTAAGTATGTGTTACTAAAAGTTTTTAAGCCCCTTTGTTGCCCTGAAAAGTAGAGCGTAGATATAGCTTATAGCTTATCATATCTATACACAGAATACAGTTACACGTTTCTGTTTATCACATAGGATTTCAAACGCAAGATAGTGCTCAATCAGCTTCTAGTGCTCTTACCTTTTATCTTTTCCTGTTATGCAATACGACATTCGAAATATCTGATACAGGTGTTGGATCATTTCCACAGGTCATGTGTGAAATTAATTTGGCAAATGAAAGCTGAAAAATAGCTCTTCTTTTCTGTCTGAGTAGTACTTGAAGACAATGTATAGACACGGCACATTAATATGCAATCCACTGAGTTATTAGACTAGTTTTGGTCGACTGATTACGTCTAATCAAGTACTTGCAAGACTCGTCTTTAGAAGACTAATGGTGCATAAGTTGAAATATGAATGCTTTTCATTAATTAACAGGAACTGAACTGATTATAAACCAGAGTTCAGTAAATTAAACACTTCTAAATAAGAATGAAACAAGAAGATGAGTTCAGATGTTAAGTTTCCCCAAAGTTTCATTTGGAAACGTTATTCACACTACACTGCATGATCTACCTGACAAAATTTGCGGCAGCACTGTAATGATTCAAAACAAGCGAAAATCTGTCTCATTTTTTAAAATATTTCGGTTCGGTTTAGGTGTGTATCTGGACTTGTCTACAAATATCATGTATATCATCATCCTAATAATAGTCGCTTTCTTCCAAACAATATATATGAAACATTATGGAATTTTCAGCAGTCAATTTTTTCACAGATACTTTCCCTGTACAATATTTTTAAAAGAAATAAGTTTTACATCTGAATAGTGTTTATAATAATGAAATAAAAGCACTAACTTGAAACGAGTAGCAGGTGTTACGTTAGTGTTTATTCAAAACTTGTGAATGAACACAAAATCATGGTACTGATGGTTCACTTAGCCGGTACAAAGATTGTCTTTTGAAGAATTTGTATATCCATTTCCATCCGGTGGAACATTTTAACTAATCTTGGTTCCTTGCTTGGGAAACTAGAGTTTGAAAACATTTTAAAACAGTGCAAGAGTGCATGATACATTAGGTAGATATACCTAAATGATTAAAACAAACAGGGAAGAATTTAGTGAAATATTGTTGGTGGAAATGTTTTTGGGTAGCCCATGGTTTAAGCAGGGTGCTTAATCATTAGTTATCATCGTACAGCCTTCTAAGACCCTTCTGTTTGACCAACATAAAGATTTTTAATCATAATCGTATATCATCAGTTTCGCTGAGTAACGTAATACTGTCTGCCTTAAAACGGTTGTTTTTGTTTTAACCTACAATTTCAGCTGACGCTTGAGTTGAAAATATTATTGCCACAGAAATAGTAAGGGAATAAAAGTTTCTCTTTATTGTGTTCAGTGTTTTAACTTCAGTGAAAATGGATTTTCCACTGTTTCAAAAGTTAAACTGGAGAAAATTAACAGACTGCAATTATTATAGCTCAACAACTATCTGTGTGAGTTCATCCGAAAGCATGAATAGGGGTAGAAAGAATAATAACTCTATCGGTAAACTTACAAACATAAGAAGTATGATGATAAGATTACATGGAAGGGTGTGAAAACTTCTCCGAGGTTACCGTATAAAGAAGGGACATCAGAGGCTTTAAGCAGAAATCTCAGTTGGGTTACAGTGAAGGTTTAGCTTACAAAGTGACTCAGCGAAAAAATTCGTCAGTAAAAGAACTTACCAACCAAACAAAACAAACCGATCTGGGAAGTTCTACTCAATGATTATGAAGTTAAATGTAAAGGTCAAACAAACTGACTGGAACCAACCAGATAAGCATAACTTTGAAGCCTAGCTAAATATAAAATGGTTGGCCATGATAAGACAATCAATCTAAGAAGTAACTCAGCCTTAATTTGTATACTCTCATTCTCAATTACGCATGGAATGCAGTGACTTTGGTAGATGAAGATAGATTAATAACTGCAGCTTCGTTCTTCGATTCGACATTTAACACATGTTCTGGGAACGACGTAATACTAATTGCAGATATTTGAAAAATGCAATCACAAATCCAACCGGGAAATAAAAAAAAGCTGAACTAAAGAAGTAAGACCAGAAGTTTATTGGGTTGCCCTGGTGTGATTATAATGAATAAATTGTGCTCTAAACATAATCTAGTATGTAATAAAGCTTCACCATACGATATACTTTATAAACTAACGAAAGTTGAAACATAATCTACCTCACTGCTGCTTTAATAATGATAGAGGAAAGGATACACTGATATGATTCAGTATTCTTTTACCTTTGATGTTTAATTATGGACGTTTCAGGCTTTGTGAAGTCACCAGAGATAACTTCAGGAAGAAGTGGGTCCTCTAAACTTTGATTTCATTTTCTGTTGACATGATGACAAGGTAACAACAAAATATAGCCATGCAAGTGTTCACAAATATTTCTTTGACATTTGCACTCAAGTGAGGCAAAAATGAGTGGATAGGGCATACAGTGACTGATAAGATTAAACTTTAATCAGGAGTTACTTCTTACTGACATACTTGTAATTTTCCGCTTTTTTACTGGATAGAGTTGTTTGACCTCTGTTGACATATGGCTTCTGTGCGGATGCCTCAATATTGCCTGAATATTAATTATGGCAGTTCGGTCGATTATGGCTAGCAGAGTAATCCAGGACGCACGCTCCGTCCTATTTGGGACTCGTCAGCTGGGTGGACCTCAATGCCTCCGTTCCTCCGTGACATATTGGATAACGCCTTGGCGTTTGAGGCGATGACTACAAGGTTCTAGTCTCAGTGGGAACAGCATCACTCACTGGGCTGCTGGTACATCCGGCTGACGAGTCCCAAATGGACCGAAACGCGTGTCCTGGATTCCTGTACTAGCCACATCCAAACAACTTATTGAGGATTGTCTAGGGAGAAACTGAAGAGGATGAAAGAAATAATCATTTTAATGTGACGTCATCCTAAAGATTCAGTCAAAGCATCATTCATTGGAGTGCAGTTTCCTTGTCCGAATAATTTAATCGGATGTAAGTATACTTCACGGCATGTATGTGGGTTTGGGATTCCAGTGAAGAGATATGAAATTTCTGATATTTGGAAATGTTTTGATAAACTGCTAATGTCAATATTTTTCTGTTTGCTAACTAACACTGTTTGACTCTTCCATACTACTTGAAAAATGTTTTATTATCTTTTTATTATGCTATGCATAAAGTCAGTGTCATCGATGTTTAAATGATATGCAAATAAGTTGACTGTGGCCAAAGCCGACGAAACAGATCACTCAGATTCTATGGAATCACCTTCTTCACTTAACACTTAGATGTGTCTGTCTATCTATCAGCAACCGTAGATGGCTATCGATAAATGACTGGTGTAGCAAGAACCAGACAGGAATACAACTAAATATACATTATTGATAATAAATCGGTTATTATCCATATCCTTTTGCATGACTTTACTTTCCCAAATGTTGCAAACTTTTCACATACAGCATATAAAACGTATGACTACACATATAATTGCAGTAAATTACTAGATATTTCTGCAGAAGTTGTACATGAAGTCAAAAAAATACAACTTATTATCAAAGTGTAATGTATTTGTGATTTCATGCAACCAGTCGACTTCAGGATTACTGGTCCTTAATAGAAGTACTAACTCAAACAAACACTGGTAAGGACTAATCCCCAGGGTTCACTATTATTAGGAGAGTATTACTTTCGATTCTACTTGGTCTAAAACCTAGGTCTGGGGCTTCTTGTCGGTTGCCTTTAAACAACTAACATTCATTTCTTGCCACTTAACGAATGTCCAACAATCTGTATCACTAGGTTTTGTTTTCCAAATAAGTGTCAGTTTGTCGCAGACTAAAAAAACTCCTAACTAGTCTATATTTTAATTGCCAGAATAAATGATGTTTGAATGCTACAGGTTCTTCGGAATTCCCTTTACCTCAGAGCATCAAAATGAAGCAAAAACTAACAGTGTTTCTCTTTAGAATGTCAACATTGGCGTATCTGCATTTTCATGTTTTGAGATAGTTATTCAACTGATGGTAAAAACAAAAAAAAGCTTTCACAAAGAGATTCAGGAAGCAGTTATTCAACGGAGCTTGTTGGTGACATACTGTTAAGCAGTCAACTGGTTCGCATTTACCAGATAATAATCTAAAGGCTCTGACTCATCAAAACACTTTGTGGTCACTATTGAGTTGTCGATATAGTTGTTAACTCGCTGGTTCTCAGCACTGACCGCTTCTTAAGTAATATTCGCCAGTATAGAAAGTTCCTCATGATCAAGATAGGTCACTGGTAAATTCTGCATCTCTGACAATTAGCAAGGCTATTTGAAATCATCCAACAGGCACTAGTTTCTTCATAGCTTTCGATAACCTTTGCCAATGAGTGCTACCACCCACGAAACCTACGTCAGGTGGGGATTCTTGCACTCTGACTCCTAACCCTGAAATACTCATAAGTACCAGTGATGTATTTACTCCCTTTCACTTATTTAGTTGTACTGATATACTGTGCAGCATTAATTTTGTGGATTTAAATATACAGCATTTGACCACTGGCTTCTGAACTGTTATGGTGTTCATATCCCATTTAATTGCTTTAGTTGAATTTGATTTCTTCAAATATCATTGGTTGGATTCATTAAGTTTGTATACGTAAAGCAACTTTATATAACCAGCTTATTATTTTTATTTTAAAGGAGCAAGGGTGGATCAGTTTTACCATATTTTTCTGTTCATCTCAAATGATGTAGGAATTTTTATTGCATTTTTCCTCTTTTACAAAAATACCAAGTCTTTTGAATTCTATGAGTTAACGCTAGTTAACTTGCATACACAGAATCATTCCCCTGTGTTA